TCACTCTCTATTCTCTTTCTTACTTCAAGCTTCTTTCAGCTTAAGTAAAAGAATCTTTTAGCAATATCTTTTCTTCTATTTGCTATTCTTTGTGTGTAACTTAAGATTGTTTTGATAGGTTTCTTATAACTTATCTTTCCGCAGACAATCTTGTAAAATCTGTATTGATCTTCTTTATCAATATATATTTTAAATTTGAAAATTGTGTTTGTATTCATCCCCCCCCCTTCTACAAACTGTTCAGTATTCTTGTAGACCTTTTGGGACCAACAATAAGACTTATACTTAGTCTTGTAACATTTTCTTGACCCAGAGTCTCTAGATAGCCGTTCAACTAGAGCCTCTGTATCCGAATTCTGTGTTCGAGCTCTGTATCCGCGCTCTTGGTTCCACGCAACTTCATGACTAAGTCCTCTTGGACTAAATCATTTTTCAGACTTCGTCTTCATTTTTGTTGACAAGAGGACCTTTGGTTGGCCTTGCTTTTGGTTGGTGAGTCTAAAGGGGCTTTGGTCCTTAAGAACTTGAGGAGCTCTAATTGGTCTTGCTCTGTATGATGCAAGCTTTACCATGGGGTATTTTTCAAAGAGATTGAGTATTTGAATAACTCTGAATTCAAGGCCTTCAGACTTCGTCTTCAGATTGTTGATATTTATTTATATTTTTTGATAATGCGTCATTAAATTCATCTTACATTTGAGAAAAATGCAAAGTCCCAAGGTTAACTAAAAGCATGAAGTTAACTGTTGACAGTCAAACTTCTAATATTGAACATATAAGGATTTTTGCAAACTGGCTTTTGGATTTATGAGAAGACAAGGTTGGTAGTGTGAATGATGGTGGAACAATTTACTGATATAGTTTCATTTCTAAATTCAATTTTATTATATGGTTAACTTCATTTTAACTGATTATTGCTATATATTTCTAAATTCAAGTTTGAAGAGTTATTTTTTAGAGTTATTGATAACTCTCAATTTGTGAGAGTTATTTGTTGTTCAATACTCTTATTTTATTGTGTATTATGTACCCACTTTGCCCCTATTATGTATTTTTGGTCCAAAATATTTTAAGAGGTGATGAAAGGTCAAAAATTTGATTATTTTCTGAAAAACCGTTGATGTTGGTAAAATGCTTAGTTTCTGCTCACATTCTGCTCACTTCGTATTTTCATCAAAGCGGATTTGGACAAATTAAAATACTGGCTCTCCTGGGTATTTAAGTGAATTAATTCTGAAATCATATCCGAAAATCTTGAATTATTTGGAAGAATGAGCCTGATTGAATAAAAAAATGTCTTAAAATAACCCTACCTTTATTTTAATGAAAAAGTCTTTCTTTACCTTTTCCTTATTTTAAGGGTTAGATAACTTTATTTTTTTCATCCTTTAAAAAAAGGTGACAAGGACAGAAAAGTAAACATGAAGTGATGGGAGGTCATTGCCTTTAGGCAAGAAGGTTTTCTTCCTTTGGGTAAAAGAAATGTCCGGTTCTCATTTTTACCCTATAAATTGAAGCATTATCTCACTTGGAAGCAATCATCTTTGGAGCATTTACTCTCAACTGAAGTTCTGGAGCAATAGAGCAAGTTTAGTTTTTGTATTTAATTTTATTTTCGTATTTAGCTTTTAATCTCGCTACTGTGCCTTGTATGCCCTCTGTGCGCAACATTTTTAGTAAAATTTTCATTCAAGTATTTCTTATGCATTTTTCTTGTTCTTTTTTCCTCTATGTTTTATAATTTCATTATGAGCTAATCACCCATTTGGGTGTGGGTGTGAGTCAAACTTAAGAATTTGAAGGCACACTTGGGTGTTGCTATTTTTATTGATTCTTAAACTTGGTCATTTAAGTCGGGACTTAAGCTCAACGCGGATAAGCCGATCATTTTGAAGTGTTAATATTAGATCATTGATCCAAAGATGAGCGAATTTGAAATACGGCTTAAGTGATGCACAAAGATTTGAGAGAATCTTTGATAATCACGTAGAAATACGAATTTTGAATGTTTTTAGCTAATGTTAAGATATTAGTCGAGTTTATATTACAAAGAGATTTGAGTATAAATCTTCAGGCTAGTGGAACCAGATATCTTTTTATCTCTTAGCTAATTCGGCAAGCTTAAAATTGATAAAATTGGACACTTTGTGGGCACTTTGTGGGTACAGTATATAAGAATTCACTTTCTAGAGATTGAAGTTCTTATAAAGTCCCATGAGTTTGTGACCATATTGTTCCTACAATTTTCTTAAGGAAAACTTACACTCATACCCATCTTTTAATTTTAAAAGGTTTATTTCGTATTTCTAAGCTTTGCATCATCAAAACTCAACTTTTATTCTGAAACCGAAACATGCTCAAGAAGTTCATGAAACTCTCTGATTCTCAGTAGTCCAGTCCCCGTGGAAACGATCTTGGTAATATACCACTTTATTACTTGAAGCGATCATAGTGTCGGCGTGCACTTACACCGCCACTGTAGGGACTTTGTGACCACTGTGTGAACACTTACGATTCCAGCACATCAAGTATACTTCAGAGTTATTTCAAGAATACAAGTCTGAAGTCATTTTTCAGAGTTATTTCAAGAGTACAAGTCTGAAAAGTCATTCTAAATTTACTTCTATGTTTAAATTCAATTTGATGATATAGTTTAATTTCTAAATTCAATTTAATTCTATGGTTAACTTTATTTTAACTAATTATTTATATAGTTTCATTTCTAAATTCAAGTCTGAAGAATCAATCTTTAGAGTTATACTTCAAAGTTATTTCAAGAGTACAAGTCTTAAGTAACATCATACTTTCAATGATGATTCATATCTGTAAGATAAGTTTCCTGACATGATTTTTTTTAAAATTACCCCGTGTAATACACAGGATCAAACCTAATACATATATATACAAGTTCCTTACACGATGAAGAGATGCCTAATTTATGTTGATAAACAACCCTTAAAATGCTTTCAATTGGGGTACTAAGAGCATCTCAAACAGATATTTTATGCATACATGTATTCATACATGAATATCAAAAGTTTTTATGCATAGTAACTTGTACTTTGTGCATTAAAAGTTGTACATTCCACTGATTCTGACCATCTCAACACGAAAAAGGAAAAAAACCGAGATCTAGTAATTGTAACAAGGTTACTCGTAAAACGTAGATTTACAACGATCATATATTGCTTCGTATACGTTAACGAAACAATCATTATTTGATAAAAGTATCTTTCGGTTTCACGAGAAAATCGTTACGTTCACCCGAGACTTGTAGTTTGACAAAAATATAACACATTTTTTTGGTTCGTCTACGCCTCAAGAACCAGAGGTGTACGTGTACCGTGTTTGCACTCCAACCAACAGTTCGATCAGTTTTCCTGCAAAAAACAAAAAAATAAAGAACGGTAAATTAGTATCTTGCTGATTTTGTGACATCTGATGACGTGGATGCCAATTTTATTGTCCCCCCTTAGCCGTAACCCTTTTGTAACTTTTTCATAAACCAATATCCACGTCAACAAATGTTAAAGGATCAACACCTTATCAGTCAAAACCGGGTACATAAATAGAAATTTTTGAAACTTTGTTGTATTTTGATATGAACACTTTGATTCCTATTGGTTCGTGTTTGTCTAAAGCCACAAACCACACTGAACCGTTTATAAACCGGAACCTAACCACATCGTTCAAAACCTGGACCAAAACCAAACAGTTCACCATAGTTAGGTCCGTTTTACGGTTCACGAGTTTGGACTTGCACCCTTACTACAAACGAACCTGCAAGAAACCCGACAACTGGAACATGTTCCAAAGTTTTTTCAGTACTTTCCAGCCTTTGCCTGTGAAAAACGAAAAGCAACCAATTTACGAGTTAAAATCCCTCCGGTTTTCATATCTTGGAAACGAAGAAACGCCAATAAGAACCATGAGGTTATATAATATACCGTGTGTATTTGCCGAAGCACGGATCTCTCATGAGGTAAAGCGCCAACAATAGTTTTCGCCTTCTCAACTGCGTATCATATTAACCAGAACATTATGGTACCAGAATGAATTAACGCCAACTTGTATTGTCAAATGTCTAAAATACCCTTCAATAATAACAAAATTCCTCCATCTGAACCAAAATTAACGTCCACAATGAAAAAGGCACGCAATTTTAGAAATGTTTACACTCTTAATTAATTTAATGACCATTTTACTCTTGATAATAGACGGAGTTTATGATTAAGGGTAGAATTGGAAAGTAGACACTTTTGAAAGTGGAGACATATTTTGGAACAAACGAAAATAGACATCTGGATGATTATTGTTACAAATTTCAATAATGGAGTAATAAGTTCGAAACGGCATAAAATTAGTAAAAATCGATACCTCATCCTTCTCGGGAACAGAAAGAGAAAGGCGTTTGTCTTCATGGTCGGTCAACGACATTGTTGATGCACTCATTCCAATCAAATCGATAGACAAAGAGACAAACCACGGAAGCCATGATCGGAGTCCGTATTTTCTTATCAACAAAACATATATGAGCGGTCTTGCAATGAACATGAACTCCCCCATTAGAAATAATCCTCCAGGGAGACCCTTTTCGGACAAGAAACTCGAGAGCGTTAGTCTCTTTACACTTGTTTCTGAAACCATATATAGAAAAGTTCAGCGTTTCCTTTAAAAGAGAAGTCAAAAAGTAAAAGTAAAAGAACCCGAAGGTTTTAACACTTTCTTATGGGGAAGAGGGGGGGGGGGTGGAGCAAGACGAGCCAGCTCATGAGAACCCATGAGCTGGTCGTCAAAAAGCATGGCGGGCTCGACCCTGCGAGCCCGATTTTGAGCCGAGCAAACTCGGGGCTCTGCTCAACTACAACGGTCCTAGTTACCTGGAGGTTCCATAATTGCACGCTGATGATGTTCGACCCTGCGAAACCATGTTGGATCAGAAAGCACCCTAGCATTTTCTCCAAACCTACTCATCGCAGAGAGAGCCCTTCCTTCACGAGTCAAATTACCATTTTGTCCCTGACGCAATAAACGTCCGTGCACAGGCTGTTGGTTTGCATCATTTGGATCTTTTCCATCGTTCATTGTCTCCCCTCCATGTAATAGCATCTTGTACCCGCTATTCCGCAATAAAGCTAGTCTAACTAGTACCCTGATTTCATTTCAACCATACTTAAAAACAGTCACATTTTGACCTTATAAAGTCAAACAGTATGCTTTCCAACTTCAAGATTCACATCAATTTTTTTGATTTTTCGACCAAGTATTGAAAGATAAATTAGACTGTATAAGAACCAGTACTAACGAAAAAATTTCGATGCTAAAATTATGAAAGAATGCATATTATATTTGAATTTTGGAAGAACTAGAGTTGACTCTAAAAGGTCAAATTTTGAAACTCTTTGGGATGTAAAGTGTATAAAAGGATAAATTGGTCATTCAATGTGCATTTGGTATGCAGACAGAACATGCGTGGATAGGATTGGACACGCAAATATGAGGTGGCAGACAAAAGAATTGTGGTAGGTTTTAAAGTTTTTATTTAACATGAGTAGTTTAGTAATTTACCTATCATGGATCATCCCATCCCCCACTTTTTGTTCCACTATTTTGGTGGCATTATAAAAATGCATTTTTGTCCCACTCAATAATGTGGAACAACAAGTTTTTGTTTTATCTTGTACTGTCCCGCATACCAAACGCACCCATAGAGACATTGCTTACTTTGTTGCCTCTGTAACCGCGATGAAATTCCATTTCTTGTCGTCACCATAGTAATGTTGTGCCACAACTTCAACCAAAGTTTCCATGTCTTTCAACAAAGTCAAACACAAGGAATATGGAAAAGAAGATGACTCCGGATGTCTTGTATTCATTTGGGATGGAGTCGTTTCGATTATATGTTCGTTGACAGCAGTCACTATGCCCAATATCGACGTTACTGAATAGAAAACGATAAGAAATGTCACAAGAAATCCACGTTGACTTTTAAAATGTCCACATTTGACTTAGCTGTATCGGAAGAGTTACTTTTAAAGATGATAAACTTATTTTGCTTCAAGTGAAAACATCGATAACTACATTGACGTATAAAAAGATTTGTGTGAATTGTGAATTTTCAAAATACAACGTTGAACTTTTCAAAATTAGAAGTGAACTCCTTTCTGGGATGATGGTCCAACCCTTCTCCAAACTAGAGATGCACAAAAAAGGCCAAGCTTGAAGCCCGGCCCAAAAACCCCAGACCTAGTTAGCTTGAAGCCCAGTACGGACAATGCTTCGGAGCCCGATCAGGCCCGGCCTGGAAAAGCCCGGTTAAGCCTGAAAAATCCTGATAGGGTGCCTTTTCAACCTCAAAGCCCGGCCCAGGCCCAAAACACCCTGGACCGTTTTTGCTCACTGAAAACAGGCTTGGAAGGCCTAGGCCGAAAATCCCGGGCCTTGTGCATCTCTATTCCAAACCACCACACTATATACCACCCGGAGGCGGGTCAGGGGTAAGATGTAAGTGCTGACCTGACTTCTACTTTGGGACGTATGCTAATCATACATCCTACCCCCAGACCCTACCTCCTCGTGGAATATACTGGGCTCATTTGGTTTGATTATTTGCTTTGCATTTAGAAATTTTAGCTCCAAAGAAAAAAAAAATACGTTTAAAATTCGGAACTGTAGTGGTCACTCATGAGCAAAAGCAGTTTTCACCTGAGGGGAGATAAGTTTCTAGGTAACAAAAGAAGGCAAATGTTACCAAAATATCACAAAACCTGCTTCTGGTCCGATTTCCGTCTCAGAAAATCTCTCCGGAAGAAGCCATGTGAATCCCTGAACATTCAACAACATATAATCAGGAATCAAATGTTCAAAAATCCAAAACAAAAAGGTGTTGGAATTTTATTTATTTTCTATGATTTTTATGACAATTTACAAAAAAAAAAATAAAGGCCAGCATAGAAAGCTCAAATATCAGAAACCCTCCTATCATTTAGCATGGAACACCATGAACAACAAGAACTATAGATGGATCTTTATTCCAATTTAGTTGGATTTCGACTAAAATGAATTAAAAAGGGATTCCTTCCCTCCCTAGACCATACTTCCGAGTGGGATGCACCGGATTCGTTTGGTGTGGTTTAGTTTTTCCATGTGCCATAAGGAGGAATCCTTTAAGTGCAATATAGAGCATGTAAATGTAAATATTTGAGCAAAAAAGTTGATTACTGGCAACCCTGACCGGCCCACATGGAACCCGCCCCCTAGGAACCACAAGTGAAGGCGTTTCAGGGTTGACTCAGCGGCTGGGCTAGCAGAGGGGTTCAAGACGCCTCCCACAAGATTTGAACTTGAATCTGTTGTGTATCTGAGCAAAGTCGCTCTGTTCCTTTGCCAATTGAGCTACACTAATATGGAATATCTTTCCATGCACTATGACAAACGCCACTTCTTGACTCGAAAAGATATTCGTGACTTAAATATAACTTTAACATATCCCCTTCTTGATAGGTCCATATATATATATATATATATATATATATATATATATAGAGAGAGAGAGAGAGAGAATTTGCTTCCTACCAAGCCTCTCGTATAGTCCTATAATCAAGAGTGGGCATTCAAGCATTTGACCCTAAGATAAATAAAACCAAATTTGTTGCCAAAAATGCCTTTCTAACAGTAAAACTACCTTTTGTTCAAAGTGGATATTGCACCCTTTTGGTATTTGGGAAGTGAGTCTTCACTTGTAGAAAAACATTAGCATTCTTGATCGTAAGGGTACATACTATGTTGTTGATGCTGAGTCGGCTCCTATGCCACTAGCTAAGCCGTGCTTGGTCCCCCCCGGCATGGTGGAGGTTCCGACCATGCATTTGCCTTATTTTACTAGAGATCAAATTTGATGCATTTAAGAACCTTCATAAGAAAAGAAGGTTGGAGTTGCAAAAGATGTAGGTCAAGCCCAATCAACCAAGAAACCGACCCTCATCCTGCATTTAACGGGCCTTATACCTATGTGCGCCTTTCGTTTGGACTTGGTATTTTTAATGATTACCCATGCTCATATTCAACCATAGAATGGATGTAAAGATAAATAAGCATGGAAAGAAGCAACCAGCCTTGGCAATAGAGTCAAGTATCCAATCATATTACTAGTTCCTTCCGTTTAGAGTCTATATCACTTTTGATTCTACATGTGACGGTTCATCCACCCCTGCCACAACATTACATTCAGTCATACAAAAATCTCTCTAGCCGTTATAGAGAAATTTCTCTGACACTCTGTGACAATCTGTGTTCGTCTCTTGCCTCCGTTGGCTATCCTTAGACCATTTCTCCTCAATATATGTTAAAACTTCCTTTCTATCCTAAACACACTTTTGGAGAGTAATCTAAAGGGATTCCACATATTCTTACAATATGCTTAGCAGAGGTCGACAGCAGCCTGGAAGCATTTTCTGGGCTCACGTGTGTGTGCATGTGTGTGTTTTGCATACGGGAGAACGAGTATGAAACCAACAACATTTGCGTACAAAATAGGTATCTTGTTGAGCAAAAAAGCTGTCCATCCACAAGCTCAACCCATCTCCATATCCCCAAAAGATGGACATTCCCTTTTGTTCCCATATAATTTCTTAACTCATATCAACTAATAATATGAATATTTCAAGAAATGCGTCTCAGTTGCAAAACTACCATTTTTTTTATTAACTTGGATATCCAACTCGCTATGCGAGCCGACTAATCCCAGGGCGACCAGCTGCTTTGCAGATAGCCCGAAGTCACCCCATTTGAACCTCCGTGGCCACAAGAGGATTTTTATTCCTCCTTGGATTTGAACCTGGGACCTCCAGGTACTTTTAACCTTTGGAGACAAGCTCAAACCAATCAGGCACCACTGATTATTGCAAAACTACCATTAGCACCCAAGATGGAAGTAATTAAGCATCCAAAATTCGGAATACCCTTTTAACTTCCATAGTCAAACAAGTCAATTTAAGCAACTAAACTTGACAATTGGCATAGAATAATGTGGTGATTTAGGTCACAAGTTTAACACACTATTAACATACAGAAAGAACTATAAAAAAATCGATGGTTTAATTCCGAATTCACAAAAGTGACAATCAATTAAGCTCATATAACATACGATTACTAACAAATTATACAAAGCTTCATAAGATGTTTGGCAAAATCGAGTGTGCTTACATTAGCAAGAGACTCTAACGAATGAACATACTCCTTGTTCCTTCGAACCCATCTCTTATAAGCTTCCATAGCTTCGAAAATGAACTGTATCTGAACTGAATCCACAATTCAAAACCTTATTGTTCGATCGATTAACTGAATTCTAGCTTGTGAATGGAGTTTTCCCCCAAATGAAGGAGCAATGAAAGTTCGAATCGTTGGTGAAGCTTGGGTAATTCAATCGCGCCTCTTTTTGAGAGTCTTTGGGAAAATAAACCCAGAAGAACAAAGCAGTCGAAGTAGGAATCTTTTCTGAAATTTTGGTCAATTTGGATCAAACCCAGACGAAAAAACCCATAAAGAAATCAAACCCTTTTTGGGTGATTTGTGCGCATAAAACGTTTATACGCTCTCTTGAAACTTGGAAGGATAAAAGCCGCCCGGAAAATCATATTCAATATCCGGAGTGTCTATTTATATAAAAACAAGTTATGACTTATTTCGATCTGACATCGGTAATAAATATTTTTTAGTGTTTAAACAACTTATATAGGTATCGGTAATAAGAAGTTTTTAAAAAAGTTAAACCATTTTAACTTATGATAAATTGATAAGTGCTTTTGTAAAAAAAAGAAAAGTTGTTTCAAATAAGCAATCCCAGACACCCATCTTAAATGCTCTCTTAAACAATTTATATAAAATATGAGTTCATTTATCGAATAGTTAGGGTTGTTTGGTTGGTTTCTTATTAAGCTATTGTTTGACAAATATAAACTAATGACGGGTTAAACCGGTTACAACAAGTCATGATGTTTTTGCCCAGTACCCGGTTACAACTCTAGCACCGGCACACGGCAGGGACGGAACGAAGGCCCCAGTGAGCCCTGTTCATCCGCTCAACCGATTATAGCAAGTAGCATATTTTTTTGGGATATGAAAAATGTACATACTAAACTTTGAGGGGGTGTAGTTGGATATTTAAAAATACAAGATACATCAACCAAAAAAGGCTCTCAAAATTGACCATAAAAAACAAAAAAAGCCCCTTGAAATCAACCAAAAAGACTTTAAAAATCCTTCAAAATTGTGGAATTCAGCTAAAAAATTATCAGGCGACTTTGTGGGCCTTTAATCCACCTTTAAGGTTCACCTGCTCGACAAAAATCTTGAGTCCGTCACTGATTGACACAAGTTCTATAACGAGCACACAACTAGTAATTTATGTTGTATATATGAACAAGAAGCGTATTTGATGCAATCGTATCTATTTATATAACAACTTCAATGTCTATAATAACAGTATCAATCTTACAATGTAGAAACAAAGGATTTCAATTATTGTAATCTAAACCTACAAGACTGTAGAAAAACAGAAGAATACAAAAAAAAAAAAAAAGAAGATTAAACAGACACGGTATATTCCACATGAAAATAGGGTCTAAGGGTGGATTGAATAAAGACCAAGGTTTTAAATGACACAAACCATGATGTAGCAGTAAGCTCAGGCATCAAGTCTTAAAAGCCACAACAAAGTCATGATTTTTTTTCAAGGCGTGCCTTATAACGGCAAATCTATATATCATGTATATATATACATATATATTCCTTTGAACCTGACCATATATATATATATATATATATATATATGGGTTAGGTTCATAGGAAAACCGTAAAAAAATGAAAAACCGAGGAACACCTAGTAACCGTTCATCTGGGCGATATGCACATGTGCATACAAGTAACTTCAAAGCAATTTGTCCCGTATACATAGAAGCCATGGAACAACTTCATGTACTTGTAAGTACATGTGCATACAATACAAATGAATGGTTACCAGGGTGTTCCTCCGTTTTTATTTATTTATTTGAGGGTTTTCCTGTTAACCTCCCCCCTCCTTTCTTTTTCTATATATATTTACTATTACTCAAGGAATTAATGATATGAAACAACTTAAATTAAGTTATATGCTAAATACTAAAAAGTAGGATATTAAAAATGTAAGGGAAAACAGATATCACGTTACAAAAAGAGTGCATCGAGTCACGCTCCACATACTTAACGTGGCATTAGACACACATCATGAGCAGCTGCTTGTGTCGAGCCTATTAGAACACTGATAAAGACTTTTCAGCTCCCGTAAAATAAACAGATTGTTTCCATAAAGAATTGAAAATAAATTTAATGGAAAAAATAAATTCAAACAAATTATACATGATTCGCCTGAGGTTCCATCCTCTTTCCAAAAAGAAAATATCAAAATTTCATGAAGAGAGAAAATCGTTGTTTTTAGAGTACTTGTTTCCCTTTTCTGGCCTTTTCTAGTTCTGATACCACATCTCTAAGTTGTCCTTGTAACCTTGAAACTCTGAGCTCTAGCTCTTCTACGGTTCCTCGAGTAAGCAACGGTTCGTATGGTCGTCGAAAGTGCTTCGAAAATGCTTTTAGAGCTTCGACCCCACAAACCTAATCACATCCGTTAAGTTAAACTCACATATATTCATAAGATCAAATAAAATATCTAGAGAAAAGATCAAGAAAATGAGAGATCACATGTAGAATGCGCGATTTTATCGAGGGGTCAACAATGATTATTCTCAAGGGTAAATTTGTCATTTTGCTTAAAAGAAGGTCCCAATTTCATAAACAAGTTATGGCTATTTTCCTGGGGGGCCCACTGATCATTTTCAAGGGTTGATTCGTCATTTTGCTTAAAAGAAGGTCCGTGTTTCATAAACAAAAGGTCATTGCAGGATTTTCCTGGCTGTTATTTTCAGGAGTCCTGATGATCATTTTCAAGGTTAGATTAGTCATTTTACTCAAAAGCTTCTTGCTTGGGGAGCATTATCGCTTCCCTTTGGATATCCCAGAAAGAAAAGAGTTAGAATCCAAGTAAGAAAAAAGTAGCAGCTGAGTCTTTCAAAAAGGTCAGGAAATTGAGAGAGAAGATGTAGAATGCAGGATTATTAGGGGTCAACCACAAAAAGCTTTCAAGGGTAGATCGGTCATTTTGCTTAAAAAGTTCCGGGCTTGCTAACTATATCACTTACATTGGGATATCTCAGAAATGAAAAGAGTAGAAACGAGCCTTAAAAAAGGATCAAGAAAATTGAGAGAGCATAAATATATCGAGGGGATGATTATTCTCAAGGGTAGATTAGTCTTTTTTGCTTAGAAAGTTCCAACTTGAGAAACATACCATTTCCATTGCAAAAAGAAAAGAGAAGCACTCTTGAGACTTCCATAGAGATCAATATATGAGGTAGAACATGTAGAGTGAATAATGTCTATGAGGATTCAGTAACGGGTATTTTCAGGGGTAGATCAGTCATTTTTCTTAGAGAAAGTTTCCAACTTGGTAGACTTGTCACTTGCTCGGGATATCCAAGAACGAAAATGGTAGCATTTATTTTATTAGAGTCCAAGTAAGGAACAAGTAACACCCAAGACTTCCACAAAGATCAAGAATTAGTTACTTTGACTAGGCAAGCTTATCGCTAATTACCTTGTTATATCCAAGAAAGAAATGTAGCCAATGTTTTGTTAGAATTAGAGGAAAATGCATAATGTGGAATTTCACCGAGGGTAAGCATATGATTATTTCAAAGGTAGATTGGTCATTTTGCTTGATGAAAGTTTACTTTGGGATATCGGGGAAAAAATCGAGTAGCACCTATTTTGGTAGAATCCAGATCAAGAATCACGTAGGATGGCTTGATTTCCTTGAGGGATCGACAAAGATTATTACAAGGGCATATTAGTTTTTCTTACAATAAGCTTTACTTTCGGATATCCCAAAAGGAAAAGGGTATTTAGGAGAATAACTTTCCGACTACCTAATGGAAGAATGTCTCTTCCTGACACAAGAATGCCTCGAAATTTATCAGAAGTTCATGCATTTAAAATTAATAAAAAATCGGTTAGAAGGTTATTCTCCTTAATAAGCCGAAGGAAAAGGGTTGTACACGGGAGTAACCTTCCAACAGATTTAAGAAAGCATCCGCCAAACAGAAGAATGTCTCTTCCTGATCTTGACACAAGAATGCCTTAAAATTTGTCTTCTTTTAAAAATATGTCATCAGTCTGGTGGTTAGTTCATTGTTTTTCACATGTGAGGTCCTGTGTTCAAGTCTTTTATTGCAAGTTTTTTTAGAAACATAATAAATCTGAAATTAAAAGCTAAAAACAAAGAAAATGACTCTAACAAGACTCGAACTCGGGTCTAAGGTGGAAGAAAAGCCTTGCAAACCAACTCCACCAAAAGAAACTTGCGTCTTCATTGTAGTTTCTAAATATATACAGTGACACACAACAAATTGATATGATGACACTTTTCACGACCCTATAATTTTTTATACTAAGACGGAGTAACGAAGCAGTGGCCCGTGCCACCGTATCCAATAGAGTAGGTCCACCCCTGGCACTTATCGTAGTATGGGTACAATAGGAGTACAAGGCCAAGTCCTTTCTTATTTTTTTTATTTTTTTGCAAAAAAAGAGAGGATATAACCCCCCCCCCCCTTGTAGCGCCTCCATCTTACCGGTCCCTCAACCATAATAGGGGTGACAAATCGTGTGTCCCAGGCACGGGCGGACCCTATGGTGCATACGGTGGCATGGGCCACCACTTCCTCCGTTGTAGTGTAAAAGATTTAGGGTCTTGAAAGTTGCCACCGTATTATTTTGTTGGGTGCAACCGCCTATTCCTTGAAACTACAATAATAACACAAGTTTCTTTTGATAGAGTTGGTATGCATGGTCTTTTCTCCCCTTCCAGGCATGGGTTCGAATCCCATTTGTATCATTTTCTTAGTTTTTAACTTTTAATTTCAGGTTTAATATGTTTCTGAATTTTATTGGGATAAAAGACTCGAACACAGGACCTCATATGCAAAATGCAATGAACTAACCAACAAACCAATGATGATTTTGTAAAAAAATTATCCATAGCTTCATTTTCTATAGTCAAATGGTGCCACCATTTGAAAAAATTTCTAGATCCGCCTTTGATCCAGGGGTAGGTGGGTGATGCCTAGAGTCCAACCCCAGACCCCCATTCATTTTTTCTGTTTTTACCCTTGACGTACACCATCACAAGCATGAAAAAGAGGAAGTAACAGCAATAAATGACACGAAACCATACCTCCTCTGGCAGCAACGGCAACTTTGTAATGTGGAAATCATCATATAACATGTAGAACTGATCGAGGTATTTTTGTTGCATTTTCATTCTAGCTTTGAGCAACTTGGATTCAACACCTAGAATACAATTCGAAGTTTTAATTACAGGAAAAAAATCAAAACAATAATTGATATTTCTAACGATCATACATGACTGTGTGTTGCAAACAAACGGTCATTCTTGGAAAAATGTAGAAGAGACACTAAACTATGCAGGAATAAGCGATTTTGGAGAAAGTATCCAAAATCACTAATTCTTGTGAATATTTTGAGTAAAAGGTTGATTACCGGCAACCTTGACCGGCACCACATGGAACCCGCCCCCTAGGAACCACATGTGAGGAGGCATTTCAGAGGTGACTCAGCGGGTAAGGTTAGCGGAGGGGTTCAAGCCCGTCTCCCGCAGGATTTGAACTTGAACCTGTTGTGTATTTGAGCAAAGCCACTCCGCCCCTTTGCCAATTTGTAGAATGGTGTTCTTTTTTGGCATTTTCACTAGAATAATGGTTAATTTGCAACGAAAATCAAAGCATGGTTGTTCAGAAAGCCAACTTCTCAAAATAAAAGTTTAAATATATTGTCCATATGTACCTTCTTCATCAAAAATTACTTGGTTGATAATGATATTATGTGTATCTATCTCGAATTTAGTGAGTTCCTGCACCAATCTCTCTGTCTCATATAAAGAAAGGAATTCTGGGATGCATACGCATACAAAAGTCGTCAAGTCCTATCACAGAATAAGAGAAGTCAAACCTTTTGTTTATAGCTTAATAAATTACTCTATCTAAGTGGGATATATTGGGTTCGTTTGGTTTGGTTTGGTTAACTATAAGAAGTGGACTTGTTTTTTTGGGGGGGGGGGGGACCGAGAGATCTATTTTTTGAACCATTAGTTAGAGCCCTACCGGATCTTTGAACTGCCGGTTCACTTGTTCAATTACACCCTTCATACTCTCGAGCCTTCCGAGGATTGCATCCTCGCCTAACTCATCTCCAACACCAAACATACGGCTCATCTGCCATTATATATTACCAGTTATTTGATATTATGCACAAGCAACCCAAATAAAAGGAAAGCAATAAGCCAATAAACATGAATAAGCATAAGTAAAAGTATGTGTGTGTGTATATATATATAATCAGGATCGTGTAGAACTTTTCTTTTTCTGGTAGGAAGCACTTTGTTAGCGTACGTTCACATACGTTAACGTATCTTAACATGGACGTCTACATATATTATAACATGGACTTGTTAACATAAGTTAGCATGAAAATCTTCACGCATTTGAGGATGTTAACTTATGTGAACCTTTGCTAACAAAGTGCTTCCTACGCAATTTTGAATTTCTATCGGAACCCGACCCTATATGTATATGCATATGTATATATATGTGTGTGCGCATGTCTAAACAAGTCAATTGAATCTTAAGAAAGAAAGATTAGCAAAGATTGGTAAAACTTGATGATTGTTACTCCACAAAGTATCTCATAGAAACCAGAAAACCAGTTCTGCTACTGAATTCATCCCCACTTCTTTTTCTTTGTTTTACACATAGAGTTTCCTGAAATTTGGTTGTCTTTTACTAAAATCAGCAAATCAGCCTGCAAAGCAGTTGCCTTCAATCTTGTGTGCTTGTGTTTTATTCATTTGGTTTTTCCTCAAACTAATTTATTTTGGTTTTTATGTTGTTCTTCTGTGAAAATTCTAAGAAAACTGACAGCACCATTAAAGAAAGGCAGGACAAGATAGTAAGACTAAAGAATTTGGGGAGTTCTTGGGCATGGAAATAAGAATCGGGGAAATGTATGTGAATGTGATTAAAAGTATGTGTGATGACTTAGGGCTCGTTTACCAAATGCTTACTGGGTAAGCGCTTACAAGGTGTCACTTACCTACGGGTGAGCATGGTAAGGACCAAGAATCTTACCCAGCAAGAAGCATAGCAAGGATTGAGAATCTTACCCTGTAAGTAAGCGAGAAGATTCTTACACGGTAAGCGCTTACCGGGTAAAGACACTTACCAACAATCCATTTTGATGGCTAAGAATATTACCCAATAAGGTAAGTGAGGGTGGTGCCTCTTGCTAGTAAGTGCTTACCCGGTAAGCGTGGAAGCCTTTACCCAATAAGTGTTTGGTAAAACGGCCCCTTAGTGACGAGTGTTAACGCATGTGATGACTTGATAAAGGATCTTTTTGTTACCGCAAGGTTACATGGAGCTCTTTTCACTTTGGTTTAGTTACACATAATCCCACAATGGACATGCAAGATGATATGCTAAGATGTATGTTTTTTCCCAATAATATCATATTAGTTGACGAGACAATAAATGTTAAAGAAAAGTTGGAGCTATGGAGGATTATTCTAGAATCTAGAGGTTTTAGATTCAACCAAAAATGAAAATAAATGCATGTATGCAACCACACTGTTGTTTGTCGGAGTCCCATATCGGCAAGACTTGGACCAGTTCTCCTCATATACTTTGCAACCTCTCTTTCTCTTCTCAAACGCTCTTTTGGAGAGTATCCTAATGGGGTTTCACATATTCTCACATTGTTTCAGGTCTACCACTCTACAACACTTAGGGACAATCTGCGTCTAGGTTTTTTAGAGGGGGCGTGCTGGACTCCCACATCAGTTAGACTTGGACAATTTCTCCTCAATATATGTTGAACCTCCATTCTCTTCTCAAGGGATCTTTCGAAGAGTAATCTAATGGGGTTCCACATATTCAACATTTCTGCTCAAGAAGCTTAGGTAGACCATAGACATCACTTGGTATTTCCATATAGAAGTTCAAATATGTTTTAGAGTTAAGGATTCACGAACATGATTAGGTTTCTGTGTAACATTAACATTTATGCAATTTCTGTCACCATCTAGTGACTCGATTGCAACTTTTTATTGTTTTTCGTTTTTAGAATTATCTTCTAGGTAAGATTGTTCCATAATTGTTTTAGCTACTAACTTTACATTTCTATACTTCTATTTTTTGACCAACTTTTCATCCTTGTCATGTATTCCAAAACCCGCTATCCACAAGTTGGAATGCATATTTTCAACCAATAAATGTATACCGAATGGTAGAGCACTCATTGTTGAATGTTAACACTGACTTGGTCCTTGGTTGACCGAGTATGGTGGAGATAATGGGCACTTTGGATGCCACGAGTTTAGGAAAAAGTGGATAGTTTATTTCCTTGTTTTTCCTAGTATTTATATGCATTTTCATTCCAGTTTTTAGTAAGCACTAGATAGAAGTTTTCTTCTCTGTAATTGAGTTTCCAAGGAATAAATACGAGAAAATTCGGCCCCATTTTGTTTGTATTTTGTCAGTGTTTGCCTTACCGTGTTGGGTGTGAATTGATTCACAAAAAGGGACTTCCTCCAACACTCATTTATCATTTATTACAAGCAACCCCCTTTTCTTTCCCCATGCAAGTGAAGAAGCACATGTGATAATTAGAAACTTAGGGTCAGGTTCCAACGAGAATGCGAGAAGTTCCAAGGTTATATATGATTACATGTTATACGCACACTTAATCGTATATGATTAAACACATGTTACGTTGACCGGCACATAGCGGGCGACCTTTCTTCGCATTCACAAAGTCGCCCACGTCCCTTTTGGATGTGTTTAATCATATATGATTAAGCATTCATATAATGTGTAATCATATATGATATTGGAATTTCTCGCCTTCCCACAAATTGATCAACTTCTTGTCTCATCCTCCCTCTAGAATCTTATGTGTTCCATAGATCATAACATTTGTCCTCTTAATTTATAGGAGCGAAATTTTATAAAAGTGAAGAAAAATACCTGACCCAACAAGCCACCAAATTTACTCTTTAGGGTCATCATTCTCGCAAGTCCTTTCTCCAAGGTTGACGGAAATTGCAACAGCCGAAGTGTGTGACCAGTGGGAGCAGTATCAAAAACTATCACGGAGTAATCCATTGTTTGCACCAACCTTAGATCATGTTTCAGAAATATTAAAACTTTTAACCTCAAATATCCTTCATCTAATAACATTGTTCTACTTCCTACATTCCACTTTAGGTGTATTCCTGTTTGCACTTTTTCATCTAAAGTTTAACATAGCTATAAAATTCGTTCAAAAATTCATATATTCATATAAATAAGAAGTTGGAAAGATATGACATTCAAAAGTCAAAAAGCAGGCACCTACATTAATATGGTGAAACAAATAAAACACTTGATTCGCAGGTGGATAATTTCATAAATAAATAAAATAACACCTTAACATTAAGACAAATCATAAAGAAAATCTCCTAAAAAAACTTCGAAAAAACACACATTTGCAAGTATTCGTGGGCCCTAGCTAATATCATCCCGAGTGTCTCTGAAATATATGCTTACCCTCAAAAGCTTGAAACTTGGTTTCAACAGGTCTCGGGTTCGAATACCACATGTGCTATCCATTTCTTTTGGAGCCACATTGGTTGGCTAGAAGGCCTAAAATTTGCCCAAGCCAAGTGAAAGGGACGTTTTGTATGAATCACGTGGATTAGTAATGCCAAAAGTGTTGATTACTTATTGGTCTATGATCATTATTACAAAGAATTGATGATATTGGTTTGGGTCTGCATGATTCCTTTATTTTATCATTATTACACACAATTTTTAGATATCTGATAACCGCTTTCCTTGAACTATATTCTTCCATTTTCTTTCTTATTAGTATGAACTCCTGTCTACCTTGACTAGTTAATGATTTTACGGAGAGTAAAAAATAAATGAAACCATCACCAAGTAGGACTTATAATCATATTGAATAAATCCGCACCTGGTTGAACCATCTTGAAACAAAATGGTGTCAAAAGTAATAGCTTTAACCTAATAACTAAAAGTATACATACAGACGACCGTAAGTATCAATTAATCAAATCCGCAATGGTGTCAAAAGTTGTTCCTTTTGTGTCAAGAATATACAATATAATGGAACTTTAGTTACACTTCTACTTTTGTAAGAACTACCCTTTTCCCATTATCCAGTTGCTGAAATAACCTCGTATTTGATTAGAATGATTGCTAAACCATTTGATTTCTTGTGGGATTCTATTTAAAATTTTGTTCACCTAATTACTTGAAGAATAGGACCAATTTCATGTTGCCGTAGATGTTTTCAAGAAGGGAAGGGTGGCATAATGGCAAGATACTGCATATCAAGATATCAACAGCTTTTCGTAGTTCATTTTAAGATTTTCACATTTCTTATGAACTATAATGAAAAAAGTCTCTTACTTTAGCATCTCAGCAAAACTCATAGCTTCATCAATTCCAGGAATTGAATTCGCTAAATCCGACAGGAAACCGTCCATTGCATCTGGTCCTTCTTCTCCATCCTCCACATTGGGATCCACCTCCTAAAAAACAAAACCTTCACCATAAGGTCACATCATAACAGGAAAACAAGAAGAAAGAAAGAAAAGTAATGGCAATTTTTGATGAATTTTAGATGTAAAATACTGAAAATTGTATGATTCAATGGTTTCATTTGAAATCAGACAAAAGGCAATCAACTTAAGTTTTAAAAAAGATCACCACAAATCATAGTTAAAGAAGATTATTAAAACTGAAATTGGCCAACACAGTTAACAAGAACCAGTTCTTAATAGAAGCTCAATGCAACATCATATAAATCCAAGTTAACAACTTTATTCTAGGAACAATCCTACCAACGGCAAAAATGATTGTTCATTAACAAAGTGGGGTCTTGGTGAGTAACCACTACCAAGAAGCCATAAATATATGTGCGTGTGTGTGTATGTATATATATATATATGTATGTATAAAGAACCCAATTCAACAGTCAGTTCACATAAACCCAAAAAGTGTCCAAATACAATTCTAAAATCAACCAAAAAGTAGATAAAAAAAGGAAACAATGATAATATTTACCTTAGCATACATATTGGTAAACAGGTACAGTAAAATACAAGTCTTTGTCAATAAGCAGAACCAAAGAATGCATGTAAAGTTGCAAACAGCTTGGAAATACCAGTTGGAAGGAGAGATAAGTCCCAAGAGAATGCCATTTATAGAGGTAGGATGCAGTCCAGATTTGCATAAGAAAGAAGTGAAGAGATATCCGAACAAGTTAAAGATATTAAATGACTCGGTAGTAGACAGGAGAATGTTGAAATATGTCAGGAGTATGTAGAAAGATGTCATTAATGACCCGTCATCCTAAAAGTTCGTCATTTAATGTTTTCTCAGGCTTTCACCGGGGTGTTCTTTTCATTAGAATCATGGGAGGGTTCAATTTTTGATAATTTCTCCTATTCATTATTAACCTATATCAACTAGTTTGAAATTAAAAGCTTCTTGCTTTTATAATCAAGAAACATGAATTTATCAACCATAGACCAAAACCCACCATAGCATACAAATTGGTGAAACATTAGACTAAAGTAGAATTAACAGCATTTAATTATATAAACCATTTAAACAAACTAGTTGTTTTTTCAACCCATTTCAAATAACCCCAAGAGATTCTAAAACCAACCAAGAGAACAAACAAACAACCAACCATAGGACACAAATTGGAGAACTCCTAAACTGAAGTAGAAGCCTTCTTTTATCACCACAACCAACAAATGCATAGAGTTACAATGACTATTCAACTTGTAAATCTTTTGGAAATTGACCAACCCAGTTCATATAACCCCAAGAAAATCCCAAAATCAATCAAGAAAACAGCTAAACACTAACCATAGCATACAAATTAGTGAACCCATTAACCAAAGTAGGAGCCTTGGTGAATCTCTGTTGAAAAGCATCGCTGAGATTATGAGCTGGGTCAGTTGAAATAATAAGAACAGAAGATCTGGCAGAGGCCAAAAGGATTGATAAAATAGAACTACATGTAGTTTTCCCAACACCACCCTTGCCACCAACGAAAACCCACTTCAGAGTCTCTTGTTCCAACACATTTCTCACCGTCCCTTCCGGCATATCATCTCCAGCCATTTCTCCCTCTCTCCTCTCTCTCTGTTGAATTGAGATTTATGTCACAGAAACCCTAAAAATTGGGAACGCGAGAGAGAGTGTGGTGATGGGTTTTGACGATATTGATGTGCAATTTAGTTTGAGAAGAGATCTGGGTAACAAATGTCTCAAATGAACATATCTACTTTTGTGTTTGCTGAGTTAGGTCACATTGGCGATGATGAGATTGGTTTCAAAAACAGCGAAATCTTGGAGAGATTGGGTTCAAGAAGGAAGAAATTTGATGAGATTCATTCAGAAAACGAAGAATTTTGGTTTTATCTAACCATTGATGCAACAATTGCAGAAGCCTTCGATTGGATTCTGTTGATTCTGTTTGTGGGAAATTTTTGTCAATATATATAAAAATGTTAAAATAGTGTAAAAATAATGAATTCTTAAACTTTAGCGCCAAATTTGAAAATAATATAAACAGAAAATTACGGTTTTAGTCCCTAGGGTTTCTTTAAAATATCGGTTTTCGTCCCTGGTATTCATTTATTACGGTTTTCATCACAATGGTTTGCATGTCCTTCCAATTTTAGTCCTTGTAGTTAACAGCCCTTAGTGTGAAATAAGTAGCTTACAGTTAAGGGGTCGTTTACCAAAGACTTACCCGGTAAGCGTTTACTGGTAAAATTTAACACTATCATTTACTTATCGTGTAAGATTTTAGTCTACCAAAACGGTATCGTATGCAACAATTTACCCGGTAAGCACTCACCGTGGTAAGAGTCGTCACCCTCACTTACTGGGTAAGATTTTCTTGGTCATTGTCTCGCTCTTACCGGATAAGATTCTTGGTCTTTACCATATTCATCCGGTAAGATAATGTGACTTGGTGTTCACTTATCCGAGTAAGCGTTTGGTAAACGGCCCCTAAAATACAGACAAGTATGTTACAAGTAGATTCTAGCACATATAAGTAAGTAATTAGAGCATCTCCACCAGCTTCTCTAAAAACGGAAAAAAATAAATAACAGATAAGTATGTTAAAATCTCTAATATAGAGAATCTATTGGAGATAAATGTAATTCCTTGTAGAAAATTTACGTTTTTGGTTCTTTATTTTAAGAAAATTATAGAAAAACTGTTGGAGATGTTCTTATCCATCATAAAACAATTATCCAAAGGTAGAAGATACCATTAAGAAACTAAGGTGTCGTTTACCCAGGTAAGCACTTACTAAGTCACATTAATTTACAGGACAAATATGTTAAGGACCAATTATCTTACCTGGCAAGAGCGAGACAATGACCAATAGTCTTATCCGGTAAGTGAGGGCGACGACTCTTACCATGACTTACCGGGTAAATTGTTGCATACAATGTCGTTTTTGTGGACTAAAATCGTACTTGGTAAGTAAGTGATAGTATTGAATTTACCGATAAGTGCTTATCGGATAAGTATTTGGTAAATGGCACCTAAATGATGTTGTTGAAGGTACTAAGTCTAGTTAGAAGTTCCGAGCAGAAATGGAAACAAAAGTAAACAAATTTTAGGTTAAGATGCCAAACGAATTTCGCATACTGGGGTACACACATATGTATTTTCGGTATGTGCATAGTTGTATGAACATGGTGTCCGTTTACATACATAAATCTTCAAATACTTGACATCCACCAGACTTTTGGATGTCAGGTCATTCTTCAAGTTATTGCTCTAATAATTAACCTTTTCATCAGGTATTTTCGTCTTTATTATAACTGAAGATGCTCTTAGTTTGGCACAGACTGTGCCGGTTAAGATTTGAGATCTTACATGTTTAGTTGTTTTCATGTTGCATTTGTGTAAGCTTCGGTATGATATGTATAACAAAGTTCGACATTTTATGATCGATTACGTTTTCAAATTGTATGCATACGTTCAGATTGCATGACATAATAAAAGCGTATCAATATATCTGATGTCATATGTTCATAAAAATATTTTGATAACTATTTAATACAGAAACTATGAACCCACTAAACGTGATACTGCATGGTCTATGTGCACCTTGGCAAATCTTTATATATATATATATATATATATATATAGAGAGAGAGAGAGAGAGAGAGATGTTATTCTACACCCTTTGTCATTCCTACACTCTATACAACCCTCATCTCAACCATTCAATTTTTAATCAATTAATTGTTTCCTAATATAAAGTATYAATCATAATTAATAAACTCTATTCATATTCCATAAATATTCAAATCATAATAAATGAACTCCAATCATTTTTATAAATATCTCAATTAATTGGGTTGTAAAAGTTGTACAAATGCACAAGGTTGTAAAATATATATATATATATATATATATATTAAAGTAATACCTTTCAAAGAATGAAGTGACATCCTAAGAAGTGAGTATTCTTCATTTCTTGAATTGTGGTTGAGTTTGTATATCTCACAATGATGTAGATATGAAGTATTTACAACTCATAAGGTTGGCTCATTTTGATCAATCCTCTAAACCCACGTTGTTGGCTCATTTTGGTCGATCCTCCGAATCATGGGTTTGCTCATTTTGGTCAACCTCGTTTTAGCAACAAAAAAAAAATTGATCATACAAATTTTTATAGATATTAAAATAAAACCCACAAAGAATGAGGTGATATCCTAAGAAGTGAATATTCTTCATTTCTTGAATTGTGGTTAAGTTTGTGTATCCCATATTAACGAAGATATGAAATATTTACACTGAATGATGAGTATTTTAAAGGGAGATTTGAGATGCTTTTGTGGCAACTCATGAGGTTGACTCCTTTTAGTCAATCCTCTAAACTCACGTTGTTGGCTCATTTTGGTCGACCTTCCGAACTCATGGGTTTGCTCATTTTGGGGAAAAAATGATCATACAAAAAAAAATCTTAATCTTTATGTATATTAAAATAAACCACACAAAGAATGAAGTGATATTAAATGAAGAACAAAGAGGTATTGAGCTGATATTATGAGAATGGAGTATTTTCAAATAGTGAATTGTTGTTGAGCTTTAGATATCTCACTTGGTGAGAAGTTGAAAGAACGGAATAAAGAGATATGTATAAGAATGAATGATGGTATGACAATTGTGTCAACTAACGGGGTTTGTCTCATAGGGTTGTTTTATTTTTATGGCCCTCTTTTTGCAAAACAACGTTTATTATATAAAACAAATCTTATTGAAAGAACAACCAAGTATTGTAAGAAGACATTACAAGACTTGAGTATTCTCAAATTTTGAAATATGGTATGTTTTGATTACTCCATGCTGGTAGGAAAATGATAGATTGGAAAAGAAATATGTCTTTAAAAGCTATAGTCGTGGGTTACAATCAAAACCAGTTCCAACCAAACGATAAAAAAATATTGTTATGAAAAAACACAGTTGAAATCTACGATAGCCAATCAAATGGTAAAACTTGTAGTTATGAAATATTTTTCTACATGTGTACGAAAGTATGAAAGATGTCTTTCAAATGTATAGCCATGGTTGAAATCAAAACTATTTCCATGCAGAAAATGAGAATTATAGTAAATCAAAACCATGGTTGAAATCAAAACCAACCAGATGTAGATATGAAGTAGTATTTGTGGTGTTGTTTTCGTTATTCATATTGAGGGGGGAAATGATAGATTGAAGGTCATTATATATAAAAGAAAAATAATAGCTGTAAAAAATATATTATGATATTTGAATTGTGGTATTGTTTATGTTACCTCACGTTATGGATCACATAAAGAGATTGGAGAATGATTATAAATATATGAAAGGAGAAGATACGCATTTGAAAATCAAAATGGTTACTTGGCTAAAGTATGCATTCGATACATATCTTGTGAAAAAATCGATATAAAAATAAAATTTAATTGAATATTTATGAATAAAAAGAGAAATGGTAGATGTTTGAATTGTATAATAAGATTTGAGCAGTTAACTTTTTGAATAATGTTATTTTGGTTATCTAATTTTGTCCATTTATTTAAAATATTTATTAAAACCAAATGTCACATTGTTTTTACATAAATTTATATCATCACCCCACACGCGATGTCGAACACTACAAATTATGATCATATTTATAACTAATAAATAAGAAAACATTCATGTTTGTTATTTATCTATACTACCTTATAAACCAGATTTATCAAAAGTCTTAAAACAATTTTTAATACACAAAGTACTATACATTTATACACAAAGTCTTAAAAGTCTCAAAAAGAACTCATAATGCATTAAGTACTACTACTTTATGCATTCAGTCTTAAATTCTCTTAATCTACAATTAAAATAACACATAGTACAAGTTACCAATGCACATTATTGCATTTTCTTTTCATGTTCCTAAGATACTTTTGACACATTTCACTTATGTTTTCACCCTCTCGTACCTCTATATCTTCTCCTCATCCCCCAAGGTGAGATTCAAACTGATATTCACCTTGAGTTTTTAAAAGTTCTTTCATTCATCTCCATTCAATTGCTCTAGAACTCTTGGTCTCACTCTTGATATCTTGACTTTTTGCTCTTGGTGTAAATCGAATACATTTGTGGAGTCGTTTAAATATGTTGGATTTTAAACTGCCATACAATTTTTTTCATCGATAGACTGTGATTGGAACCATAACTTTTATTTATTCAAATTGTATTAATATGTAAAGACTAAGTGTAACGTATATCATCGTTAAATCTTCTCTAATAAAACCAGCGAAACTTCAAAATCGTTAAAATTCACGACTCCCGCTGCATTGCACGGTACTCAACTAGTCTAAACTTAAAACCCAACAATTTATTTCTGATCAACTATAATAATACTTTTTAATCAAAATAATAGGTTCTTTTTTTATTAACTTGGATATCCAACCCGCTACACGAGCCAACCAATCCTAGGACGACCATCAGGTAGCCTGGACTCACCACTTTTGAACATCTGTGGCTACAAAGAGATTTTTATTCCTCATTGGAACCCGGGACCTTCAGGAACTTTTGACCTTTGGAGTCTAAGCTCAAACTAATCAGACACCACACTTGTAGTTTATAGTCAATTTTATTAGAGTCAGTATGAAATGAATTACTTTTATATAATCAGAATCATTTTTATTCAAAGAACAAAAGCCGGTTATTAACTTTTACGATTTCAATTCACAAATAATTAGACAACTGATATCAAAATACACACCCAAACACCCTCGTCTTGCAACTTGGGATGGAAAAAGGGAAGGTAATGCATCCTCCGACCTCGACCCCGTCCCCACTTGGCCCGTCCCGTCCCGACTAATCTCCAATGTGTTCGGGGTAAGGAATCCCCAACGGGTTCAGGGAACGTTAATACAAAACGATCTATTTTAAAATTAAAATTATAATGAAATGTCACTATATTAATTAGCAATATTGAAGATCAAAATATATTTGTCATGTAATAATTAATGTATACATATATATTTATTTATACATAAACTATATACATATATTAATTAAAACAAAAAAAAATCGGGGTCGAATTAGGGGGCGGGTAATGTCATTCCTGACCCTGCCCCAACCTCGCTTGGGTATGAAAATAAATCCCCGTCCCGTTACCCATCAAACTGGGAATCCCCGCGGGTAAAATTTCCATCTCTACTTACAACATTTTAACATATATTCATCGAACGCCATAAATTATTATATATCGATATGGAAAAACATCAACGAGCACCCGTTCCTAAACGAGTGAATCTACGATTTCCATAACAAAGAAGAAGTTCCGTAGGGTGTAGATTCCCTAGTAGTTATATAAATACGTGTTCGTTAAAAAGAGTTTTATCTTACTATTTACACTTACGTACGGAAGTCGTGTTATTGAAAGGGTGCCGTTATAACTCGTGATCCCCATACGCTAAATGGTCAATAAAGAGTGTTGTAGATTGAAGAGGTGGCTATGATCGTCGAGATGCAAATAACGAGCGAAGGAAGTAGGGTTATGTTTAAGAGTCTACTCATTCCCCAGTATCCCGCTAGCGTGATGGTTCCGTCTGCAACCACCCGAGCTAGTGTCCCGGCTTCGGTCGACAGTAGTCCGCCGTTGTAGGTCCCACGAGATAGACGCGATGACATGACTCGAGATAGGAGCGACAAATTCACACCTAAGGTCGTCAAGGATGAAACACAAAAGATCATATGACGATTTTATTCCCTCTGTCCACATGTCTATTCAAGTTTTTTCCAAATTCAGTGCTTGCTTTCAAATAAATGGTTATACTCCCTCCGTCTCAAACTAAATGTTCATATTTCTATTTTAGTTTGTCATAAAATAAATGTCCACGTTCAAAAGTAAGTGCAAACTTTCCAATTCTACCCTTAATTATGAAATGGAGATATTCATTACTTCTTCTATCAAGGGTAAAATTGTCATGTTTTCAATTAAAAAGGGTAATATTTACTAATTTCTAATACCCCATTCTTTTTCATTGTGGATATTTCTTTTGGGACGGATGGAGTAATTTACTGTATTTCCAATTGTACCATAATTCACGAATATTTAAATAGTTATGAGATGTAGATACAATTGTCATAATATATATTGAGGGTAAAATTGTCAATTAAAAACTGTTATAATTATATATTTTATAAAATGTGTTTTTTTTATAGTGGACATTGATTTTTGGGACGTAGGGAGTATAATCGAACCGCACTAGATATCATTTGAACTAACATCCCGTAACGACTTCTATGAATCTAATAGGTCAAAATTCACGAATGGATAGATGTATGTACCTTCGAGAACTTCAGCAGACACGAACGTTAGAAGAGCCGATAGGATGTATTGGGGTGCCGAGTAGGGGACGATGACATGAAAGCTTAAAACGATACCCAAGCATACCATTATCTCCGAAGCCAACAAAACTTGCCTGCATTGACAAAATCTTGTACGTAAAATATAACGGACTTTTGAAAGTCAAACGTAGTCCTTTTTTATCTTCAATTACTATAATTGCAGATGTAAGATCTGCGTACATCTTATATCACAAAAAATGAAGACTTTTAGCGACAAACAGAGTCATCACATCCATCAGTAGTTGGGCGAATCCATTCATTATACAGTTAAAAAGCCAGTCTAGTTTTGTCTGAACCGGCGCAAGACCAAATCGATATCTTTGGCTCGGTTTTCGGTTTGGTCCGGTTCTTGACCGATGCATAATCCATTTATGCTTTTTTTTTTCTAAAACTTCCAAGTTTTCTTACCTTTCTTCAAACACATTGCTGATGTAGCTCCCGACGAAAATGCTAACCGGAAGAACAGTTAGCCCAAGACAAGCAAGAAATAAGGCGACTTTGCTTGTCGACCATATAAAGTAGTATGACGTGATAACACTCGATTCCGCAAGTAAAATCTCCATCGCGAATTTGAGCATAAAGTATATAATCAATTGAACCTGTTCACAAGCAATCATCGATATGTGTATTCAAATAAACGCATCGGCCGTTTATGGAGTTTAAAGTTCAACCTTTTGACATAATTTTCTAAATGCAGGACTTTCTGACAGTTTTAGGAGTGACAGACTGATGTTTGTTCCTAGCACAAGAGTAACACAAAACCCGTCAGAAAGTCGCACACTAAATTAATCTGTCAGAAGGTTATTCTCCTAAATAACCATAAATGGTGAAGGTACTTATAAGGTGATGGGTTCAAATCTCTCTTCCCCCTTGCTTTTTATAAAGAAAGACGAGTTATTTAGAAGAATAACCTTCTAACATATCTTTTTTCTAATTGCAGGAGTTTCTCACAGATTTTAAGACATTCTTGTTAAGAAGAGAGACGTTCTTAAATCTATCAGAAGGTCATGCATTTAAAAAGAATATATGTCCAGAATGTTTTTTTTTTCCTAAATAACCCAAGAAAGACCGAGACAGACCTTGACAGATGGAGTAAGCAGACGGTATGCAGACATAATCGAAGTCACAGGCTCATGGCTTTCCTCGGCTAATTCCTCACTAGGATCATCATCACATTCATGTTGCTCGTCTTCATCTTCTTGATTTTTCCCAGAACCCAAAAGGAATGGCTCGGAGAAACCAGTTTCTACGATGGTATCTGTTAGCAACATCATATACATAATCACTAATCAAAACCAAACCAAACCAAACCAAACAACCCCAGTATAACCCACCAGGATGTGGGGTCTAGAGAGGGGAATATGTACACAGACCTGACCTCTACCTCAAAAAGTAGAGCTTTTGTTTCCGTGAAGACCCTTCACTTGTGAAAAGTGTGTGAAAGAGAGAAGCAAATAAGCTTAAATTTTGAGAAGCCGGAGATAAGTAGGCCATAGCAATACAAATAGATGAAAATGGCACAGATAACCATTTCAACCGTCAAATTTACCTCTTAGTCATTTCTCTCCAAATATTTTAAAAAAGTCAAAGAAGAATTGATAGTTCACTTGTGGAACATGATTGATTTAAAAGAAGGTTTTCAACCACTCGAATTTTGAACCACTTCACTTCAGGAACTCTCTTCATATACATGAAAACCAAATGAAACTTCACTTGCGGCCCTTGCATGGTCCCACCTCAAGTGCAGGAACCCACTTCACACAAACTTGTTGTTTGTTTCTGCAGCTCCGCAAATTGTGGTCTGGACACTTACGGAGGTGTTAATTTTCTTGAAAAAGTGAGAGAGAAATGGCTAAGAAGTAAATTTGGTCGGCCAAAATGGCTATTTGTATCATTTTCCCTGCAAATAGAGGCAAGTACAGGAAAACAGAAGGGCTTAAGATGGGAGAATATGTAGCATACCAGATGCTTCACGTTGCACGATAATCTCTTCTTTTTCAAATGCAGGCTCTCGGAAAAACAACCATAGCCATAGTAAATAGATGAACCATGCAAACGCCATGAACCATCCAGGTAAAGTATCTTCGTTGAAGGTGAGTCGAAAGATCGTGAATCTCCGTTGAAATAGGCAGGCAAGAGCCGGACCACAAGCCATGCCGAGGGCACTGGCACTCACGAAGCCAGCAGATGCCTTCATTCTTAGCTTCGGAGGCACGCAATCGCTAATATAACGCCTGTTAACAGCGCGGGCAGATCCCAATCTAACATGTAATCAATTCCATCAGTCAAAAGCTTGAAATATTCGACTTATAAAGCCAAAAAGACTCATTTCTGTTTTGAAATTAGTCATATTACTATGATTTCTTCAATATCCTTAAGAAGATTTAACCTTTATACTTAACTTCTCTATGGAAAATATCAATGACAAATTTGTAACAGTCCATAAATCATGTCTGTTTAATGGAACAAAATTCCTCACTACAACAAAATTGGTTGTATAGGATGCTAAAAATATCTAAATCTCCTAATAAACTGCTTTAAAAAACAAAATAATTGTATGTTATACGTAAAAGTGTTACCATAAGATGTTAAACACGTATTTGGACATCCTAACAAGTTTTTTCACTTTTGAATAAAGTGTCATATTAGTTTTTTATCGGTCATTTTTCAGAAGTGTATATGAACATATATCTGATTATAGGACGTGTTTTTATAAGATAGTTTTCGAATAATGTCATATAAAAGACTGATAGTACATTTTATTTCAAAATTGTCCTAAGAAACTCGTTTGGCAGCCAAAAGCGTTCTATCAACTTATTGTAAGATTTTTACATAAGACACATAAATGTTTCATTCTATAAATTTAAAGCCCAATAGAACAGTCTATTATGACATTTAAACATTTTTTTACGTCATATAAAGTTGATTTAATTGTGGTGTCTACAAGGAATAGATCCACTTACCCACAGAACAAGCGTCCAACGAGAAGAACGTATATCGAGTCAAGATCATAAGCCAGGGCGTATAAAGTGTTTCCAATAAGAAGAAGAACGCTGCTGCATATAAGAGGTTTGATGTACGATTTATTCGACCATGCACTGAAATAAACCGAAGAGAAAATCTGCGCGACCGCCATTGATCCTATCACAACACCACAAACCGTGGCCGCTGCTCCAAGGCTGAGAGAGTAGTTATCTGCGGTTGGGACAATGATGTACGTATTGACCATATACAAGAACGTATTCGCCAAGTTCAAAAGAAGCGACGTAAAATTATATCGCTCGTTCACAGCATGTTCTTCCGATGAAGGCGATGGCAACTCGTCTTGCATAATAAATGCGTGTTTTCCCAAATATTGAAGGAAATCCGTTGAGTTCATTAGTCGATTCTCGGCTGCTTTGATTGACTCAATCATAGGGTCCTGTAATTTGTAGCAGGAAATGGATTAAACAATGCCGTATATAAATTGAGATGGAACTTACGAAATGATAAGATCTCCATAATACCGAAATGGAAAGAGTTGGTTGATCATAAATTGACCCATAGCGTCTGCGATCATCTTGCAGATCAGCAAGGTTGCGAGATATGGATCCAACGACTGCTGATATACCCTGCACGTATAGGTAGTGTATGGTAGTCATGGACATCTGCAACCACTACAACAGAATCAGCTTTATAGGACGACAAATATGTCTAAATGTCCTAGTAGACTACTTTATAGGACCTTAGTTTATAGGACCGAACAATTGCATGTCCTATTTAAATGTGCTACAATAAGTTGAGATAACACAAATTTTAGGACACTTTTGAAATAAAACGTCTCATAGTCTTTTTATATGACATTATTTGAACAAGTTTCTTATAAAAACAAGTGTCCTATAAAAATATATGTTCATAGGACAATTCCCAAAGGTGTATAAAAAACCTAATAGGACGCTTTATTTCAAAGTGTCCTAAACACTTGTTAGGATGCCCAATAGTGTCATATCAACTTGTTGTAACACTTTTTCATAGAATGACAATTGTTTGGTCCTATAAACCTATAAAACAGCCTATTAGGACATTTAGACGTATTTAACATCCTATAAAGTCGATTTTGCCTTGGGGTTCTTTAATGTTCTAGTGTTCTACCACATGCTTAAACACTTGTCGGAGCTGAGAATAAGGATGGTTGGCTCGAGTTTTGACATAGTAATTAGTGAACCTATATCCAAGTCGCTTATCGAACTTTTTAAGAATCTTCCTTAGACCGATAGCATTCATTTCAACAAAGAACAAGACCCTCAAAAGATCTCTCCCCACTTCTCGATATGCATCTCGTAGTTCCATTGTTGAGTCATAACGTGGTCCATGCAAAAGGGGATCGTCACTATGGTCCGCAAGACCTGATAGCCTGATCGCGAGTTGACCTTGTTGTTTTAATAAAAACAGAACTATCTTCTCTATCTGAAACAAAACAAAATGCATAGTAGACAGCATTAGGTAATTGGATTCAAAATTGATAACAAATGTCACACCGTAGATAAAAGTATGAATACCCAAACTGACCCAGTAAATCCCACTTCAAAGTAGAGTATGGGAGAACACAGACCTAACCTCTACCCAAAAGAGTAAAGCAGTTGTTTCAGTGAAGACCCGGTTTGTGCACTAGTGTGAGCAAACAAATATAGGAATGAAGACCAGCATATGGTGAACAAAGCACAAAATGCATTATGAGCTAGAAAACTTTGAACTTGTACGTAAGATTCGAGTTTTGTTAGTTTTCGATGTTTGAAATTTGAAATTTGAAAAATCACAGTGAACTCAGCAACTAAAACAAACAACACCATACCTGTTCATCAAGCATTCGAGAGAAATCAGATAGGACATAATCACGATCCTGGACAGCAACCTCGTTTTGTTGAGCATATTGCTTTACTTTCTTCTTCAGTAACTTGTAATTGATATAATATCTGAAACCAATTATGCAATAAGCAAGTTATCATAACAAAGTACAAACTAATGCATCTCCGATCGTCCAAACTTTTTGTATAAAGTTTAACTTGAGCATATGGGGATTCAAGAAAATTACTCTTTCCATTCTTGGATCTGCAATTCCTTCAACTTTTTCCCAAATGCAACCATTTGTTGACCTCACAAATCACAGTCTTCTGTAGAACATAAACCAATTAGTACCCATATTACAACTCTCTAATGCATGAAAACAGAACAATTTATCATTCAACACCATTTTATAAGCTAATGATTTGAATTTTCTAACCATAATAGTTGGACCTTTCATCACAAAATAAACCATAGTCCTTCAGACTTTACAGAAGAGCTATTCTGGATTTAAAAGAAAGCAATAAATATGCATCTACACTTCCACAATCTGCCCAAATCAGCCGTGCAAATACTATTATCGATTAGTGTGCAACAAAAGCGGATTATATACCATTAAAAATTCGATCTGATTTCCTTATCTGTGAAGTGGAAAGGGTGAATTTGTTTTCATTCAACTTAGAAATCAAACAATAGAAACACAAATTGCAAACTTGCAGTACAAATTAGTTTGTACTGTACAACTCTCGAACGCATGAGATTCAAACAACTTACGATTCGATACCATCTGCAACCAATGTCTTACGAACATCAAGCAATAGATCACAACCACAGAAACAACAGTCTTCGTAACACTAATCAACTACAAACACCTAGCTCTTAATGCATGAAACCAAAATAAGTTACGATTCGACGCCATTTTCTGATGTTCAAACACCGAAATCATGCTCGTTTCATCGAAATCAAGCAATAAAAGAGCAAACTCATTGAAATGAAAGAACAACCGAACTAATTTAATCTTAAGAACAAAAGCTCACCTCCGTCAAATTGTTTCCTCAAAATTGATGAAACTTCATCGTGATTCGAAGTTAACGACGAGTAAAAACTAGAATTTGTACCAGAAAAACATACGTGTCGCCGGTGAAATCAATCCACACATAAAATAAGGAATCCATTGTTGCAGGAATAGTTTATAGGAGGTCGTTTGTACACATATCAAAATCAATAATCAACCGTTAATATTTTTATTGTTTAAAGTTATAATAAAAAACTTAATTTTTGTTGTATTGTCCAAAGGATACTAGAAGCGTTATCGTACAATGCAGCGAAATAGATTTTGATTTTAATGTTTTATTTTATTCTTTGTTTATGTTGACTTTATAATACGATTTTATGTGTTTTTAAATAAGCAATAATGATATTATTTTTAAATAATATATAAATTTGAAGATATCATAATATTTTAAAAAAAAATATTTCAATGTTAATATCAAATCAACTATTTAAAAGTAATATTTTTTATGTAATATTATAATTTATTTCTTTATTATAATTTAGTTTAAATTTAATAATGAAATAATTTATTTTTATTTTAATAATATAATATCTTATAAAAATAATAATTAAGTATTCTGTTAGAACTTAGGGGGTGTTTGGGATTGCTTATTTGAAATAACTTATGTTTTCTTACAAATGCGCTTATCAGCTTATTATAAGTCAGAAGAGTTTAACTTCTTTAAAAACTCCTTATTACCGGTGCCACACCGGTATAAGCCATTTATCCAAACACTCAAAAGTGCTTATTACCGGTGCCACACCGGAATAAGTCAATAAGTTGTTTTAATAAGCAATCCCAAGCACCCCCTTAATGATTATTCTAATTATATTTTAGATTTTTTATATTTTAAATGAGATGTTTATTTTGTATTTGATTATGTTTATCTGCAGTTAGTTACATGAATTTAGATATGGAGCTTTAATAAGTTGTRCTTACGCACAATATACTTGTAATCTTGAGTTTTAAGTAACATGTATTAATAAACAGTACTTTATGCATAAAAAGTGGTTTTTAAGAGTTTTTGTCAAATGCTTTATAATATAGTATAGATAACGATTTAGATAGAGATAAATACATTAGAGATAGACTAGAAGGGTACTCGTGCAATGCATCGAGATACATCTTGATTTCAATATTTCGTTTTATTCCTTTTTATGTCGATATAATATGGTTTTATGTGGTTTTAAGAAAACAATAATGTTTTTATTTTTGAATACAATATAAATTTGAAAATATTATAAAATTTTGAAAAAATATATATATACCGATATCAGTATCAAATTAACCTTTTTAAAGGTTCTTGTGTTTTACTATAATTTCTTTGATTCAATTTCTAATTATAATTTAATTTAGGTTTAGTAACAAAGAAATTTAATTTAGGTTTAATAATATAATTTTTTATAAAGATAATAACTAAAATATTCTGTTATAACTCAATGATTATCCTAATTATATTTTAGATTTTTTATATTTAAAATGAGATGTTTATCCAATATTTGATTATGTTTATCTGCAGTTAGTTACACGAATTCAAATATGGAGCTTTAATAAGTTGTACTTATGCACAATTTACTTGTAATCATAAATTTTAAGTAATATGTATCAATAAACAGTATTTTGTGCATAAAAAATGATTTTTAAGAGTTTTTGTCAAATGCTTTATAATATAATATAGATTATAACTAATATCTATCATAGTTATTTACTTGTATCACATCCCTATTTAAAGGGCTCTTGATTAATGAGAATTATAGATACATTCTCTCCATTCTATTGTTGTTTTCCTTTGATTATTCTAAAACAAATTGGTTAATTTCCCAAACTAAATTCACTCTTTGGCTAATATTTTAATCAAATTCCTATTTCAATTAAACTTTAGGTAAGGAGTTGTTTGTTTACCTTTTAATAGTTCCATTAAGAGGCAATGTCTGAATCATTAAGAGGTGAATCTTGTTTGGCGAAAAAAGTCTTGTCTCTTAATGGTTCTAAAATTTTCTGAATGATTTTGCATCCTAAGCCTCCCTTAACCATTCAACGTTCTAATTTCTTTGTAAATAATTACCAAACAATTATATTTTATTTTGCACTATATCATGAGAGCCTCTTAATCATTCTGACCCCTTAATCACTCTGCATCAAACCATTCAACCACTACCAAACAACCCATAAATGTCTTGTAAATTTGCGTAAACTCAAATTTTTAGATTAAAAAACAAGAAAAAAATTGACTCAAATTTGCGTAAGGATCCCTATTTTTTCCAATTTTTTTCTATCTGAAAATAAGCTTTAAACGAATGTGTAAGGTATTTGCGTAATAAACTCTGACTAAAATAAGAATTTGGTTCCAAAATCGGCTAAAAAGCGAACTTGGTTGGGGAGATCGACCATTTTGGTCAATTTCCCGTATCAAGTTTTTGAATTTTTTTTAATAAATAAATCCTACTTTTTAAAACTAAAAACCCCGAGAAACTTCTCATATTTTGAATGATCAGATTTCTAGTAGATTTTCTGAATCAATTACTTACACTTATAAAACGAAGTAATATATCATTTCGCTATTGATGTATTAATAAATCAGTAAAAAAGTATAATAAACTGATAAAAAGAAATAATTAAATACCATTATCGATTATTTATTTTTCAAATTCGAATGAAAATCATAACAGAGGCTAATAATTATTTATTTTTCATATTCAAATGACAATCAGATGATCATAACACCTATGATTGTCATTTGAATTTGAAAAATTAATAATGATTAATAAATTTATATCTATTTTTGTGTTTGAAATCATACAAAAACTATCTAACAGATGAAAACCTTAAAACCAGTTTGTGCATGTTGTTCCATCTTCGTAGATGAAACAACACACAAGAACATGAAATATCACCTCAAACCACCGATAACCCTAAATAAATAAATAAATAATAATAATAACAAAATGAATTTTATCAAACTAACCGTCGGTAATCCGTTGATGATCACTAAGGTATAAATAAAATTTTGAATTTAAACTGTTTATTAAATTTTTGGCAATCTGTCGGTGACCTTAGCCATCGGTAATTCCTCAGTGATGGTTGTTGATGAACTGTCGGTGATACTTTCACCCATGAAAGTTTAAGCGACGGACTTTCACCGACGGTTTTTCCTCTACTGACAGATTCGTCTGTCAGTGGTAGCCTTCGAAATTGTAATGTGTAGTCTAAGAGACTCTGTGTGAATAAACATTGACTGGAAATGGTTGTTTACAAAATATCTGCACAAACATTGACTATAACAGTCACCAAGTAAAAAAGAAGTCTATTCCTGACTAGGTCAACATATATGTGAGAATATGTGAAACCTCATATTAATCTCTAAAAGAGCCTTTGATGAGAGAACGGAGGTTCCAACATATATAGAGGGAAATTGTCCAAGTTTAGTCGATGTGGGACTCTAACACGCTCCCTCCAACATAGGCTAGACGGCCACTTATTGTCCCAGAGTGTCGAGAGGGGGCTAGACGGGTGAAGAGCCAGACGATTACCCTAAAGTATCGAATCCCTAGAGTGATAGACATTGGCTCTGATACCATGTGAGAATATGTGAAACCTCATATTAATCTCCAAAAGAGCCCTTGAAGAAAAAATGGAGGTTCTAACATTATTTATAGAGGGGAATTATCCAAATCTAGCCGATGTAGGACTCTAACAATATAAAGCAATTTATATTTAAATCATAATATAAAATAATAAATAAAATAAAATTGATATCCAAACAAATATTGTGACAAGAGAAAGTGGACACAAGAATATTCCTCAAGATTATTTGTCCTCCATGATAATTATAATCCGCTCAAACGTCGACGTTTGATGTAAGTCCACCACTTCCCCATATTATGTGGTAGTGAGACATCAATTATTTTCATCCACTTTATATTTAAAAAAAAAGTAAAAAACAAAAAGAATTTTTTTTTATTTTTTTATTTTTAATTTATTGATATATTAATAAAAATAGTTAAAAATAACGCGATATTAACATTTCAAACAGTTACTTACAGGTGTAACAACAGGTTCAGTTCTGGTAATTTTTATCTTTGATCATTATCAGTTGTAATGTATGCTTTAAACAGTTACAGATTATTAGATTTCAGATATTTTAATTTATAAGTGTTCAACTATAACAGTATGATAGCATTTATAGAACAAACGAGACAATTTATCCATGCAATAGCTGGTATACAGATTCATATGATAATACTGCAGTACTAACTACTAAAAACAGGCTTCCATACGATAATAAGAAGATTTTAAGCAATCAACGACTCACTGAAAACAATGTCCAGCGATAAACTGAAAATGCATGTCCTTAAAATTATATAAATGTACCAACAATATTTTTATAACTAATTTTTTTTATTAACCTGGATATCCAACCCGCTATGCGAGCCGACTAATTCCAGAACAATCATCTGCTTTGCAGATAGCCCGGAGTCACCGCATTTGAACCTCCATGGCTACAAGGGGATTTTTATTTCTTCTTGGATTTGAACTTGGAACCTCCTGGTACTTTTTAACTTTGGAGTCAAGCTCAAACCAATCAGGCACCACCCTTGTGGTTTATTCTTATAACTATTGATACATATATGCAGGGGCTTAATCATTTGAAAACTCCAAAAATTGTAAGATCTGTGAGAACTTCTACCTTAAGACTTTGTTTAACATGATTCTTTTCTAGCTAAGTATAGTATTTAATATATTGA